CCATCTAGTCTGAATCTACCCCCCTGTAGTTTAAAGCCATCCCCCCTTGGCCTGTCGCAACAGGCCCTGCTAAAAAGTTTGCCCCCATCTTTTTTTATAAGCCCCCTTTAAGTACCAAAAGGCTGCAGTAAGGTCTCCCCGAAGCCTTCTCCTCTCCAGGCTGAACAACCCCAACTCTCCCAGCCTTTCTTCATAGCAGAGGTGTTCCATCCCCCTGGTCATTTTCGTAGCCCTCTTCTGGACCTATGATGTGCATAGGTTGGAAGAAATACAGACATTTTATCTGCTCTGTGTTAATTAGTATATTTAATAGGTCTGCATGGGGGAAAAAAAAGCTTGTTTTCATGTTTTGCAAATGCTAGTTCTGCAATTATTTCCTATTTGTCCTCAGGCTAATGTCACGGTCGTGTGGTGGAGGGGTGTTTTTTTAAGGTGGGGTTGTTTGCTTGTTGCGTGGGTTTGTGAGTCGGTGGTGGTGTTTGACTCTCGGGCGGTTTTGTTTTTTTTTTTAATACACTTGTCTTTCATCGGGAAAAGAAGGGGGAAGAGAGGAAAAAGCCAGTAGCCTTTGGCTGAGGTACTCACCTCGAACGCGTAAGCCTTGACACGGCCTTGCTACGCCTGTCGCAACGGACTGACTTGTGGTTTGATCCCGTACCTCCCGTGCTCCGGGTGCAAGCTCTGGTCTGGCCCGCGGGCATCCTTCTGGTCTCGGCAGGGAGTTCAAGCGTGCCTCTCTCGGGCCCTTTTCGTCCCTTAATCTGGGCGCTTCAACGAGACTGCATTTTGGCAAAAACTGCTGAAACCGATGGTTTCTCTGCTACGCGAGACGTAGGTAGGAGGGCTCCTTCGACGGCCGTGAAGGTAGCGCACGAGCGAGTAGCAAAGAGTGGGGAATGCTGCGGCAGCGTGACCTGTCACACTGGCCAGAGATCCCGCTGCGGCAATAGAATCGGTACAGATTTGGGTTGAAGAAATTTAAACGGGCAACAAAACAGACTCTTCCCAAGATTTTCCGCGCATTACAAGGATGTAAGACGTGACAGAATTCCACCCTACGTTTTTCTTCCCTATCTTTCCTCTGGTTGAGAAACTCTCGGTCGTGGGCACTGAAAAAGTAATTGACTGTAACAAACAGTCTGGGCCATCTTTGAAGGAAAATGCCGCCATTTCAGGCCCAATAAAATAACTAGAAAACATGGCTAGATACCCTTTGAAAAACTATTAACAACAATTTAAAAAAAAATTGTATCTGACTGTCGTAACAGACTGACACTTACCAATCAGTGCTGAAGAGCAGAACTGAAAAAAAAAAAAATATATATATATATACACACACACATCTTAGGGAGCTGGGTACAGAGGAATTATAATTATGATAGTTCGGTTAAGGTACCCAAATGGGTGCTGTTCCTTTTTATGCTGCACTGGCAGTAAAAGAGAGCGAGCCATTATTTCTACATTTAACACTTGTACATTTTTATTTAGTTAAATCAGCCATTGTACACATTGCAGCTATGTATTGTTAGTGTTGTATTTTTTTTTTTTTTTAATTTTTAACTAATACATGCCCTCATAGATATATTCAATTAGTGTTATCACCATGGGAACAAGATGCTGACTCGTCAACTTAAAATTCACTTCTTCTCACAGTATTCAAGTTCTTTAATAACACAGCAAAAAATCAAAATAAGAGGTGAATAACCATTATGTTGTTACACAGAACATCATCTGCACCGCAAGTAACACAACAGAAATGCATTTCTTTAGAGCCCCATCCTTGAAGATCATCCTGTGCTGTCTCTGACAATAAGAAAGCCGTGACGCGCTGTGAAATGTTTCATCGTGGGTCTCGCTCGGCGTTGCAGCCAAAACACTTCTTTTTTTTTTTTTTTTTGGTTTGGTGGGGGTTTGTTTTTTTTTTTTTTTTTTTTCCCCTTCCCAGCCTGCCAAAAAAGTGTTAGCGTGGCACCTCGGGTTGTTTTGCCTGCAAGGAAGCCAGAACTCCCAAGACGTTTTCATGCTTTCGGCATCGTCGCCTTCACGAGGAAGTGCCCTTGTTCTGAGCACTGAGTGAGTCGTTAAAAAAACCCAACAACCCTATAATCGCAGAAGGCCAGATAAGCGTGGAGAAAGTATTACTCCTAGAGGAGAGGATTTGTTTTACTCTGGTTTGGAGCGTACTCTTCAAAAATGAAAGAGCTTGTTTAAAAACTTCTAGTTAGTGCGTGTGTGTGGTATGCGTGTATTATATATGCTAAAACACTACAGAGCTCCCTCCGTTAATTATTAACCCCAAATGTCAGATCTCTGTGTTCCCTTTTTTGCAAATCAAAGTGCAGACATGCTATCATGGTTTTCAGAGGGTTGGTTTAGAAATATATATATTATATATATAGATAGATAACAAAATATGAACAGAAACTGGCTTTCAAGGATTGTGAGCACTTTCTCTTTAAAAAACACTTGATTGGAAGATAAAAACTGCTCGCTCAGTGCTAAGAGGGCTAACAAGCTGACATGATTATAGGAGGGTTTGGCTTTGACCTTCAAACGCCACATGCATGTATCGGATAAGAGGCAATCTTGATAAAACACGGTGAATTAATCATTCTCCTTGTATAGTGGGTAAGTCTGTCTCCCATAGTTATCTACAGTGCAGTGGCCAGCAGGAAGTACCACCAGTAAGACGGTGTGGTTTGCTAAGCGGTGATGAAAACAGGAAACTACTGTAGTTATAATTGTTTAATACACCCTGCCACATGTCCAGATCTAAAAGATTTTAATACCGTATGCAAATGTGCCATAGATATAGCTGCTAGCAAGTTGGTTACCTAATTGGGTTGTGGTTTGTTTTGTTTTTTTTTTTCTTTTCTTTTTTTTTTCTGGAAATCTTTAAGTGGCTGTCCGAAGGTCTTAGAAGCATTAATGGCCACAGTCAGCTGTTACTTTGTGAGCACAGCTGAATTTCCAGGTTTTCAGCCTGACTCTTAGAGCCTTTAACTATAATAGATCCCTAAACTGGAAGTCTTATGGATGCAGTAGATCTGCAGTGCTTCCTCCTCAGTCAGTCTGTGTTTGCAGTCGATTGTGTTAACGTTATTTTATTAATCGCTCTTCAGCAGTGTCAATAGACCTTGTAATCCATGATGCTAATTGTAGTCACAGGCAGTGTATTTTCTGCAGTCTTGTAAGTCCAAATACTCTTGCTATATACAGTTTACACGTTAACTCCCTTTTTTATGATGCATGTACATAGTCACTTGAAGAGGCCTGTAGATGAAGTTGGCTTGACAAATGCAATTTCATGAAGCTAGTGCAGAAGCAAAGGAACAGCAAGAGGTGGCGATGCTGACAAATTCCCAGTACAGCACAAAGACGACGATTCGGTGGATAAATCATCCTGAATGAAGGATGCTATCTTTGGTCACAAATTAGCTTACAGGGTAAAATATAACAAAAACCCAAAATCAAATACGGGGGCGGGGGGTGGGTAGAAATGAATTCACTGCATCTGCACAAGTAGAAATGGCAGTGTCTTCCAGTGATTATGTAGGTAATAATGTCTACACCTAGAGAAGATGAATGCTGCATAGGGGGTGGATGGTTATGTGGTGGTGTCGAGGGGTGGCAGCTTCCTCACTTCACCTCCTGTTTCCAGTCCTCTTTGCAGAAGTGTCTAAGAAGCTGCTGGAGGTCATGTTGGAGGTCATCCTGTGGTAGTGCTTCTGGTGTGTCTTCCAGCTCTTCTATGTGAACGTGTTTTCCGTACCGATCCTTCATCACAGTCCTCTTCTGTGTGCTGGCTTTACTCAGTGTTGTCCTAAAACAAAATGAATGAGAAAACTGTCTGAAAAACCCCACAGTTCCGGAAGGCTTTAAAAAATGCTCCTTTTCAGCTGCAGTTTTAAGGCTTTTTCATTTAAAATAACATGAGAAGAACTGTGGCCGGCAGTTTAAGTCAGCTACTGAGGTCAGATACTCGTTCTGCATTCTGAGTACAACACACACCACAGCTTTAACTGGCTTTCATGTAAACTAATAGCAATTCACCTCCACAGGCTGATTAAGCATACAGTTTTAGACGCTCAGCAAAAACATGCTGTAACAGACAGACATGCAACATACGTTGAAATTCACACAAGACCTTCCTATTTGCTGTACTTAACTTCAACATACAGAGTTGTCCTGTACAATAGTAGTTTAAGCTGATTAATTTCTTGAACACTTACTTCTGAACAAGTCTTACTTCTGACAGCCAGTAAAACTACATCTGTGGTAATCTAGTGTCCTAAACTCTTCTGTTAATTACTGTCTTACCTCACTGGAACCATCTTGCTCTACCTTAAACCTCACCAAGTCCCCCCCAGATCTAGGCAAATAAAGGTAGTTGTCGTAGGACAGCTGGGTGTCTCTTGCTTAGCCCTACCCAGAAGCCCAATTTTTGGTCAGTGTCCTTGGGAGAGGACCATGGGAAGCCAAGCACACTTGGAAATTCCTGCTTGCTCAGCCAGGAACAGCTCGATTTTTATCAGACAGCTGACACTTCTTAATTTGACCCGAATGACCAAAAGGTCCCTCCGTTAGATGGAGCACTGTGACGAGAATGCTCGCCCTTCATCCAAAAGCAGATGCAGCAGGTCTTCCCGCTCTCAGTGTGTCCCTGTGACACCATCCCGCTAACTCTGAAACTGGAATGTGTTTTACAGCTCGTTACAATTACAGACGCAGTTTGGTCAGGATGTTCTTTCAGAGGCTAACATTGGCTTTACCGTCCCAATGGTCACTATCAATACAAATGGCCTGAAAGAAAAGGTGTGTAAAAGATACCGAGCTTGGAGCAGCCTTGGCTTAAGTTCTGTGTGGTTGGGATGAATACGCTTGCTGTACTACAGTAGCTTTTATTTTTCCCAAATATTTTCCTATCTGCCCTGCCTCGTTCCTCATAAGGCTCAACTGTCACACGCGTATAGCTATATATCTCTATCTCCATATAGCCTCTCACCTGTTTTGATAATGTTCAAATTATCAAATGATCACAGAGTCAACCGGTATGAGAAAAGAAAATTTTGAAGTAACTGTGATTAATGATGTTAACTGTAAATCACGCTGTTATTCTTGTATCGCCTCCTATGAAATCAGCTCAGCAGTGATGCCCCTTTGATCCGGGTCTAGCCAGGATGCGGTTAACTTTCTTCATAGCAGCCTGTGGGGTGCACTGTTTTCCGTCTGGGTCTAAACCAGCGTTGATAACAGACCAATGCTTTCGGTACTGCTGAACAGTGCTTAAACAGCATCGATACTTTCTCTTTTTTGCCCCACTGGCCCCCTCAGTGAGTAGGCTGGGGGCGGGCAAGAGACTGGGAGGGCCCACAGCCAGGACAGCTGACCCAAACTGGCCAAAGGGATATTCCATACTATATACAATCACGCTCAGCAATAGAAACAGGGGGTAGAGGAAGAAGCTGGGGGAGGCGGGGGGTTATGTCTTCCAAGGTGACGATTGCTCAGTGACTGGCTGGGTATCGGTCTGCTTGTGGGAGGTGGCGATGCCTTTGAATCACTTGTTTGGTTGTTCTTCCCCCTTTCCTTCACTTACTAAACTGCCTTCATTCAACCCGTGAGTTTTCTCACTTTTGCTCTTCCTATTCTCTCCCCCGTTCCAAGGTGGGGCAGGAGGGTTGGGGAGCGGCTGCGCGGTGCTTGGCTGCTGGCCAGGGTGAACCCACCACACCACTATTCACCCAGTCTTTTCAAGCGAGTGTAGACCCTTCCAGGGCATATATCCCTTCCCGTAACAGAATGTTAGTAGTAATCTTTAGTACTTTTGCAAATAAAACTTTAGATGCTGCCAGTGCTTTCACTTCAGACGCTCGCTTAAATCCACTCACTTATTATGAGTTTGTTAATCCTTTTCTAGTAACAGTTCATTGACATGCCAAGCCAAACCTTTTAATAACTGATCCGTCCTCTTTCATGATTTCTTTCTCTACTAAAGCGGGGAGCTGGACTTTCATTTGGTTACCTGTATAGCTCAAAGCCTCGAATTAAAACATAAACTTCAAATTAAAACAAAACCCAAAAACCTAGGACAGAAGATAATTGCTCTTCATAACTTAGTGCTTTATATTAATGAAGTTGAATGCTGAGAAAATGATGGACAAATAAGAGAAGCATCTGCCTGCCGTTTGCATCCTTTCAAATATTCCTCAAATGTACAGATCAGTTACAGTTTCTTGTATAGAATAGTTTCATTTTACTAATAATTGTACTGAAGCATGTCTTGGTACTTTCTTTTCAACGTTGAAGTAGCCCAACTCAAAGCCTTGCAGTACCACACTTGCAGAACTCATCCTTTTGTATCTATTGACGACAAGCTGCTACAGCGACCTTTTTCCTGTCACAGAAAATACTCTTTCTTTTACAGCCGTTCCCCCTGCCACCTTGAGCTGCCTGTTCTCAGTGCTAGCAATACAGAGAAATGGCGGGTGGTACTTCTGAGCCTCTGTACTGAAACGGGAGAAGCAGGGAATGGAGCCCAGCAAACTTTTCTGCAGAATATCTGCTGTTACTAATACTCCATAGAAAACAGAAAACCAGAAAAAAAGGCAGCATTTCCTTTTGGCTGGATGCAGGTTTGTCTGTGGTATCTTGTATCAATTTCTAAAATTAGCTCCACACGTGGTAACATATGAATGAACTTTTTCTTTAACAGTAACCACACCCCTGATTTCTAACAACTTTACTTAAAGCCTCCATGGGTTTTTTTTTAGAATCTTAAAACATTTCATAGCTAATTCTGTAATGTTAGCTTCCCCCACACACACTTTATATACTAATCCTTTTATAACATGGCTGAGTATAACAACAGAGGTTTATACTCAGTAGTTGAGTATGATGCTCCACCAGCAAAAACTTTCAATAGAGTCTAATTTGTCCCCAGGTATGTTGTGACACTTGTTTTAATATTTGTATTTAAAAGGCATTTTTACCTCTTCGAAATCCTCTTTGGCTGACGGAAGATCAGTAGCTAAGCTAGCATCCCCCAGGTGTTTCTCCGTTCTCTCCCCTTGCACTACAGTGGTCTTTATGACTTTGCTGACCTTCCGGCCTTCCACTGGTTCAGACTGGAATTTGGAGGCACTAGGCAAAACAGCAGGTTCAGACAGGGTCACCTGTAAGGTTAGAAAGCAGAAGTATACTGGATATGAATTACAGAACGCATACTAACAAAGCTTTTAGTTACTCTATCATTCCTTCTTAATCATTGCCATAGAGAACCATGTAAGAAGTGTCTCTCTTTCTATGTGTACGCATCAAAATAGTAAGTGTACATTTTACTACCTGCTTTACAGCGCCGGAACGAGACGTTGTAAGATACATGGCAGTTCAGACAGCAGGAACGGCCCTGGATAATTTATTCTGCTGAGGAGCTTTACGCCGGCAGGGTGAAAACTGCTTCTGAACTCTGAACCAGCCTGAGGGCAGCCAGGGATATTGCTACCCTCCACCACACCGCAGGCTGCCGTACTGGCTCACCTGCCAAGGCCACTGGAGTTACACCAAGTAACAAGTGGACCTCTTGCTGCGAATCCTCGCTGTATTCACACAGGCAAGGTGTGAATATCAGTGGTATCAGTCCATATCTTAATTTTAAGATATTCTTCTGAAAGATGAGTCACACTTGTAAAACCAAGGAACTCTTACAGGAGCAACAGACCAGAATATTAGAATACCACGGGGAAGTGACAAACACGATTTTATTTGGCAAAATATGAATTTAACTTATATGGGTTCCATATGATAAAGAGTAGCTCTGGTATGGTCAGCTAACTAAAAAAAATTACTTTGTTTTCTTGTTGCCTTCCTCCTAGAGAATTAATTCTGATGATTAATTCTGGCAAGAGAGAATGACAATTACGTTCTTAGCACTTCTAATGACCGCTTGTTAACTGTTGCTTTCAACTGCGGTAGTGCTGAAAGCAAGCCCTATTGCTAGCTTCTGGCCCTCTGTCACAACCTTGATTTTGCTGATACAAACATCTGTACAGCTACATGGTGAACTAAGCTTAGCAGGAAAAGACAAACTGAAAAGCACTTTCAGGTTGTTTTTTTCTTTTTAATTACCTGGCTCTACAAACAGTTTGCATGAAAGTAATACTTTTTTTTAGCCTCTTCAAAGCAAAGAACACACCAGTAAGTTAAACCTGTTATAACTGTATAGTTTTAGAAGGGCTTAGCCGTAGAAACCTAGAGAACATCAGATCGTTTCATTACAACATTCACTAATTTTCTTATTAGAGTAAGAGGTATAATAACAGCTACAGATTTGCCATTTATCTGTATGTCATCTTAGTACAAAGCTGCTTTCTTTGTGAATTTGGTACTTCTCATAAATCGCAGAATCTGTATCCTGACTTATTTTCAGAGAAAACTGCCCTCCTTCCCTGCCCACCTTCCCACCCCCTGCCTTTTCCCTGTCTTTATTCTGAGGCAAGAAAACTTTTAAAAGTATCATTCAAAACTGAATGTGGTTGGCATGAGTAAGATGTACGCTGTTGGTGTAGTGCTGCTTTGTACCATTGCAAGGAAAGTAGAAGATCTGACCTCTGACTGTTCACTGTCGCTCTTCAGCACAACCCGTTTTACAACTTTGGAATAGCCATCTCCTTCTTCGACAGTGACAGGTTCTTGTGGTGTTCCTTGCATTAGGACCTCCTCTTTTTCTGTGCCGTCTGGAGAAACGTATCGCCGGATGATCTTTCTAGTGACCTGAAGGAATGAAATAGAACTTTGTCCCAAAAGAATTAACGATAACATATTTCTTCTTATTCTCTATATAGTATTTTCTACTCAAAGGGCATTTTTTCCTGCACAGAAAAACCAGTATCTTAGTCTTTAACACATTTTCTCACAAGTACCTGTAGTAAAGCTGCAAGCTGATGCATTCGCCCTACTTAGGTTACCCCACAGCAAAGCTTCCATAAACTTCCTTCACAAAGCAGGCACAATATAGATATTGGAATGACTCTCTAGAGCAGCAGTTATTATTAGGAAAAGAGAGATAGTATTTTAGAGAGAAAACATACTTTACAACCACACAACAGCTAGAAAATGTTTTCAGACTGACATTTTCAAAAAGGGTTCTGAAAGTAGGAGCTTTCTGATAGCAGCTTGGCTATCAGATGCTTAGAACCAGATTCACAGAGGGACTTGGACATCCCATTGTAACACCGGTGGTACTAACCACTGCTGAACTAGTGAGCTAGAATTAACCTACTTAAGAGACTAATCCGGTCTTAAGCTTTCTAGGCACCGGCAAGCCAAAAAAAGAGGATCAGAAGAGAATTACAGGGTTCAAGACGAGATAAATTTCTCAGGAGGATGGGTATGCATCCCTCTGTGGATGACCTGGAGCTCTACATTTTCGTACGCCTTCCCAGCCCCTTTTGACAAGGTAACATTCAGCAGTTACCTCCCGCTTTGTCCAAAAGTTTATTTGCTGTGATGCTCAATCAAGACGGGGTCACCTATATTTAAGAGTCACAGAGGTGGGGGTGGTGCCCTCCCAGGCATGGACCTACCCAGAAGAATACACTCATGCTCACTCTTGCACAACGTGCCCAGGAATATTTGGCTGGGGTTGTTTATTTTAATATGAATTCAAACAGCTTCCAGAGACATGCTATCCAGCTGAGGGCCTATGATGTTTTCTTGGGAGGCAGAAGATGGAGTTTGCCACCAGCAGAATTCAGCCAAGTCCTAGACCAGTTCTCTAAGCACCAGGTTCTCAGATAAAGCAAGGAGCACAAAGAGCAAGTTCCTCTTCCACTTCCACGCTGTGCGGAATTCACTTTTATAAGCATGGTCTGAAAATGCTTATTTTATGAGGCCAGCACACAAATAAGTACCTTCTATATTCTTTGTGCCATAAAAACTGAACTGTATGTACAGATACAGAAATTTAGGAACCTGGTCAGGCACAACTGAGTGGAGATTTTGAAGATCTAAAATCTGGATTTAGCTGACTCTTGCAGACCCAGCCCTCCATTAGTTTCATTAATACAAGGAAACATGATCTTAGATAAAATTGTGGTAGTGTGGTTTTTTGGGTTTGTTTTTCTTTAAATAACCTTTTCTCAGAAATGTGGATATATGCAGAATTTTCACTGGCTTTAAGTGGGAAAATTAACAGAATATGTCATATTAAGTTATCAACTGTAACACAGAATGACCTTGCGAATCAAAATAATTCTTCAAACTTTGGAATCTCTCATGAACAGAAATTCTGGTTCCTTCCATGCTCTACTCTTAAAAATCATGCCCCTTCACAAAAGAAAATTTGGCAGGTATGTGGATGTATTTATCCTTCCTTTTAGTAAGGCAGTAAGAAGGTAGCAAGGGGCATAACTGACAATACCTTCTTTACCACTGTGTGGCCATGTTCATCTGTATATTGCTCTTCTGTGACTGTTTCTGGTGGCATTTCAGGCATACTATCAGCCTGTATGACAAAGAACAAAGTAATGAAGCAAGGCCTTCATGTAGGTAACTTTAAATAAGCAATTTTAAAATTGGTTAATTGGTTAAAGAATGAAAAAAAAAATGGAGAGATGTTAGAATTTTTTTTTTTTCTGCAAATAAATACTTAGAAAGGCATGCAAAGAAAAGTTATGCCACAATGGTCAGGCAAACATATGTTAGTTGACCGCGTTGTGTATGGGGCCGAGAAGTCTTGTCCTCCTCCTACTGAGGCATCTAATGGAATTTAGAGTTGGGTTAGCTGTATTACTATAATGTTCCCTTCAAGAAAAGGTATTGGAATGGCTTATCCAATGCCCATGCATTATTCAGGAGCATTCCAGCTTCAGGTGCAATACCAGCCACGTGGTTGTCTCAGCAGCATGCCCAAAGGTGATGCCAGGGCCTAGTCACCACAGACTCGTGCAATTGTTCAACACTCAGTACCTGAATAATCACGCGGCGACGAACGACCCTGGTAGTGACCATCTCATCTTCGTCCGAGCTGGTCTCCAGCTCACCTAACTCCTCTGCTAACTCCTAGTGGAAGCATGGAAGCAGTGCTCTGTTGTATCGGATACTAGCAGCACTTCCAGGTTCTGTCTTGTTTTTACCTAAAACCATCCTCACTTCTGAAAATTTTTTGCTTTTAGGATTTTGGCCTCTTACCTGACTTTCATCTGTGAAACACCGATGCGGGGTGGGAGGCTTTGGCCACTTGTCTATACATTAGCTGTTCATTAGCATGTTGAAAAAAGAAAGATGAATCTTTGTGGTACTGATTCTACAAGATGTTCTTAGTGGTCTTAGTGCTCTTAAGGTTGCCAGGGACAAGCCTGAAATTTGTGGCATGACATCACTGCAGGTGGACTAGAACCAACTCTGGAATTCATACATATTGCATATGGTTTCTGTATTAATTACACAGAAAATTATACGAAAGCCTTTTAATCCTCCATAGCGGGAAGTACATAGTGCAGCATATAGACAGGACTAAACAGTTTTAACTAGGGGACACGATGTATTAATAGCCTTGGCACTGGAAAGATCAAGAAAAATTAGTAACAAGTGTTGAAGGTCTCTCTCCTGCATAGGGAAAAATTAAGAAATTAAATGAAGAGGTCAGAAGCCAAAGAGAAGCTGAAAAGAACTACTTGGGAAATATCAACAGTATAAAAGCATAAAGAGGAAAATAAATAAGGTTGCTTGCTTCTTTTTGGTGGTGCTGGTTGTTGTTGTTTTACTTTAATAAAAGAACTGGAGGGAAAAAGAAGTACATCGTCTTCGAGGGCAGCCTTTCCTACAGCAGCCATTGTATTGAGTCCTGTTGTAGCTAATCTTTCAACATCTGAGTTACCCTACACATTTTATATTCAACCTTTTTCTGAGATCCCAGAGGCAGAGCTCTGAAACTCTTCATTCTAAAGGTGGTACATTTGGCAACATAAACAGCAAAGAAAGAAGAGCGTGTTTCTAGATGAAATGTCAAAACAGGAAACAATTTCTGCTTAAGTAGAACTGTGCTTTCTCTGCTCTAACTTAACTGATAAAACTGATTTCCTGCCCAATTATGTCTTCTCCTTTTCTTCCACTTAGAACAGGCAAAGCAAGCTGTTTATTCTTAAACCTTTATGTGCCAAGTAATTCCCCACTAAAAGCCATATAGTTGCTTTCTTTCCTTGCCTTTTGATATCTTCCCCTCTCCAAACATTGCAGTAAGGTTCCTTTGTCTTACACAACCAACGACCTACCTCACATAGTTTTTGTTCTTCTCTTCCATCTCCTGTCTCCATTTCTCTTTACTGCCTGCATGCTACATAAACACCATTCTCAAGTTCTTTTCTTCCAGTACATCCTTAGTATTCTGGAACGTACATCCTGCTGCCTCTTTTCCATCTCGCTAACTTGACAAGATTTTTCATGTCATTCTTCATGCAGCTCTGGGCTAGTCTTGCCTTTCTTCATAAGCTTTTAACATTATTACTTTGTCTTTCATTACATCTGTTTTTCAGCTTTCAATTGTACATGGTTGGTTTCTGCACCTGTTACTTACACTAATTCCCTCTCACATGCATGGACATAACCTGTCACAGACCAAAGGACAAATAAGGGTAGCAGAACCAGAATTACAGTCTAGACGTTAGGATCTGGGTTTTGCTTCAGCTTTGAAAACCTCTATACAAATGACTATAGCTAGCCCTTATAACCACAGAGGAAAAGAGAAAAGACTCAGTTGCAGATGGGCATTAATTAAGCTGATTAAAAATATTCTCATCTTACGGAATGAGCGAGACATAAAACTTGTTCTTTTGTGGCAATTACTTTGAGGCAAAGTTGTTATTTACCTTTTCTAAAGATTCCTCTTCATAGCCTCTTCCAAACTTTTCTGCCTGCTCATCAGTTGACTCCACTATCACTAGACTAGTTCTTCTTGGAGAGAGGTCATCCTCGTGGAGCTGGGGATCCTCGGGCTCTTGGATGATGGGAGAGTCACTTCTCTGGGCAGATGATGGGGGCTGTGGGGGTGGTTTTTCTCTCTCTTCCTTTGCTGCACTGAAGTGTGCAGATTTTTCGCTTCCTGCTTTTCCAGTTACTGGTGCCGTAGACTGCTCTGTTCCTGGAGTTGTGACACTGTGAATTACAGGTTCAAGGGAAGTTACTACCATGCAGTGCTTTCCAATTTCCATAAATGGAACATTATGCACTGATTAAATATTGTTTTGTTGCCTGTCATCTAGCGAAGTCTAGCAATAACTGATACTCCTTGACAATAAGTACAGAGCAATCTGTCTAGGAATCCCTCTCATCTTCCCGACCCAAGAAAATCTCCAAATGGATGTCCAAACTTTGCACCCCATTCTGCAAAACTTCGTAAAGGATTTATGCAAGCTTTGCTGTCACTTGTGCCCTCACAAATCTACACATTACCTGGTTTTTTGGGGGAAAGAGACCAGATCACTACAGATGGATGTGAAGCAACTACTACATTAATTACAAGCTACACAGCTGCAGGGGAGGAGAGACCAACTTTTACGTAGCATTCTGGAGCCTTACCAAACAGAAATTTAGTAGAGAGTTTTACTTTGTAATGTTATTTTCACTGTTGAACATTGCTATGATTTAATTGCAAGTTATTTAAACATATTATTATACACATACTACGTAACATATATAAAGGTAATACATATATTAAAGCATATGTACATGCAATATTTTGCTGTCGCATATGGGTGAAAAACAGTGACTTCAGATATTAAGCTAACTTTCATCTAACCTAGTTTTATGAAGTAACCTTATAACTGATGCTAGCTTGAAAAGGTCACTTCTGATTTGCACTAATTGTGAAAACATTACCCACTTCACCACCTAGAATCTTCTTTTGAGGTTGACTTTTCTTTTTTTGTGTGTATCGGTAAAAATTTTAAAAAGACAACCATATCAAAACTGGTGGAATTACAGCCTGAAAAATGATGAGCCTGCAAAAATTACATCTCCCACTTCTAAAACTTCTGAGGTGCTTTGGAGCTAGCATCTACACGCTTGCTTTTTCCCCCCTCTCATCCTAAGAATTAACTGAGGAAATTGTTAAATTTTAATAATAGGAGTCCAGATTCCCTTCTCCATAACCAATCCCATGAGTAGATAACAGCAACAATAGAATAACTTGCACATACATGTTTTTTTTCCTGATACAAGTTGGGTTTTGACAATTTGTTGTGCTCTCCCAACTACTGCCCTTGAAACAATTGTGTTCTAAAGTAAGAAAAGATTTCATTGTAGTATCAGTTAAACAGTATTGATCCAGACTTTTTTTCCCATTCACCAGGCTATACGTACTATTGTATAATTCCTCTTAGTATGTGTTCCTTATAAGCTATTTACATCTTGCCCAATTTTCCTCCTAGTTCAAACTAGATATGAAGTGTAGTGATATTCCCCTGTCATCACTACTCTCAGTTAGTATTGGCAATATTGTCTCAAATGTATTCTCTATTCCTCAAAAACATTCATTTCCTCATGCAAATCATTAGGAAGTATCGGTATTTCTGCCTATCAGCGCAACATAAGTCCTCTACCTTAGATGCCGTTTTCTGTCTCCCACACTCTCTCCTGGGTGTAAAGCCTATCTTGAGCAAAAGAATCCCCAAAAGACCATTTGCTGGACTCAGCTGCACTTTGCCTGTTTGGAGCTGCATCTCCACATCAAAGCTAATCACTGCCAGGAAAATCACTTCTTTGGAAGGGGATCCGTGATATTTTGCTAGCCTATGAATACCGGAATCAACTCTGCATAGAGTTCTCAGCGTGGGCACATGTTTAGGGATGGTGGGAAGAAAGAAACGTGATCCCTTTTAAGTTCCTTTCAAGTTCCTTTCCAAATGAAACCAACCCCACTGACAGCCCCCAATGAGAATTCAAGGCTTTGCTGTGCAGGTCTTCTAAATCTGTATCATGTGTTGTTCCCTTAAGTACTTTTGTCTTGTCTGTATAAAACCCTGTTTCTGTTCCTTTAGCCATCTGAAATTTACTTTTAAAAATCTAGTTCCTAATACGTGGTTATGAGTTTTGTAAGTAATGATTAAGTTGGAAAATTTTTGCCTCAATTGAAAAAGCCATCCTGAAGTTGAAGAAAGGCCCCTCTAGTGTTAATTCCATTAAGTTTAACAATACTTGCCAACTAACATATGAAAAATGTACACAGTTTGCAAAAAACCCCCGCCTCTACATTATGCCTCTTTTCTTTCATGTGTACTAGACTAGATTGTTGTTTTGCGTTCACAGTGACGAACTGACTTTCTCTCCTAATCCTTAAGGCTTCCTCCACATGGATCAAAAAGTCAAACCTGCAGTAGGAACTAATGGACTGGTGCACACAATTGGAGGAAAATTCTAGTGAGTTCATATATTTCAAAGAAAACTCTAAAATCCTCTTATTACACAGAGAAGAGAGAATCCATTCCACATAGGTTTCGTTCTGCTCTTTTGACACTTACAAATATTCATGTTGTGAAGCAGACGGTTTTTCTGGCACATCTTGGGGTTTCCCTGAGAATTCAGCTTCTACTTGCTCCTTATGTGCTTGTCTCAGGAGCTCAGCCATTGATCCTTCTGCCTCACTCCTGGGAGTACTGTCCTGAAAAGGAGAATAACTGACAGACACGTCTTCCTCAGAGACAATAGGAGGGTGTTCAGTTGGCTCGCTGTCTTTAGATATTCTATGTCGTTCTTCTTGCTTATGTCTTGAACTGTACAGTTCTTCTTGCAGTGCAGAAAACCCTTTAAAAAACAGAGAGATGAGAAATGTCATTACAAGTCTTACTAGAATGCAGGAAGTCCTTATCGTTCTCCATGTGCATTTAAAATCCCTGGATGAAACGCATTACCTGAAATTTTAGACATCTCGAGTGGGAGAGGACATAACCTCTCTAAGTAGCTGAAGGAACACTGGGTTACCACTACTATTGCCAAATAATGAATCTTGACAGTAACAGGCAAAATAAAATTTACCCAGAAAAGAACCTAGAGTAATTAATCTTGAAACCCTCTAAGTATGAAAGAAGATTCACAACAGGTTTTTCCCAGCAGATTAGGATAGGTTTTAGTGACTTTTTTCCCCCCATCTATTATTTAGCTGCTTATGGAAAAAATAACCACACAAGTATGGACAAAGAAATTCATACGGGACTAGGTGCAAGAACTAGCTAATTTACGTGCTTCAAAGCATATAAACACCCACCCCCAACCCCTAGTCTCAAAGCAAGGGCTGTCATTCTGCAAAAAATGTAAAATAAGGCATGCGATTCTGTTCCACAGGCTACAAGTCATAAGCTTGGGCTTTTGTTTGTCCTTACTAGCCACATTCACTAGGAACCTATTGAACTCTGAAGAGTTTTCGCTTGGGGGAAAACATAACTGCTTGAACTGAATTTCAGCTGGACATGGACATTAATGTTCTAAAACTAATCGGTTGCGATATTCGAACGCTAATTATAGCAAACACCCTTCTGTTCCAACATTTTCTTAAAGATGGGACGTCTGCTGCTGTCTAATACTTTATGGAGCTACTAGTTCAATACTAAGTTAAGGATGTAAAAGTATCACTTCCAGGAAAGAGAATTTTATTTCACTTAATTTGGAGGTGTTTCTTTAGTTTACAACCATTGATCTGATGTACTGAACTTTTAAACTTAAGAAATCCGGCAGCATCATAGCAGAATTCCAATATCCTGGATACTTGAATTCAAAGGTTTTTCCAAAGCATGGAGTAGTTTTCCTTTTACAAATCTTGGTCAAATCCTAATGCAACCTTCTTAGCTTTTATGAAAGTACTTGTATAAGCAAAAAAACCCCAACAAACTGGGCATAAGTATTTGCAGTAGTTTCTGACAACATTCCTTTATTTGCTTTATAAGAATCAGCTAATGCAGAGATCTTACACCTGGTGAAATAGCGACCTGTGCGATGTCATGCTTGCATTCATCCCTATTATCTGTGCTTTCAAAATGAGATTCTAGTCCTCAGTCAAAAGAGTTAACAGATTATCCTAGTCAAACATTTCAGAACAGAAGCTAGTGCTTAGATGAGAGAACCCTGGCAGTCTGGATCAGGAGACGTTTACCTTCACTATGGTCCAATCCTATTGTTTGTTCAATTTCTGCGTACGTGCGAGTGCCGTGGACCTGCATGGAGTCTATGCCGCTGGTCTCCATTAGGTGAACAATATCCATCCGGTTGATTTTTGTAAGACATTGGGTAAGATTTGTATCTGTGGCATTAGAACGACACCATGTAGCCGAGTTAAGAATTTCACATGCTCTCTCCCTTCTGTTTTCCATATGAAGGACATACACAGGATACTGAGCAATATAATATTTTATATAAAATACAGATGCATTTAGAAGTATTGCTATGTAAAACCTAAAATTAACTGAAGGGCTGCCTATAAAAATTATCACTCATTTTGTTTATTCCTTTAACAAATTTGTTCCATTTCCCCATACATTTTTCAGTTTAGGAACAAGAGGCCTCAGTGTTTTTCCACTCTTTCTTTGCTGTAAGATGTTCTGCCTTGCCCTCAAATGAACAAGATTAAACAGTTTTCTCTGAGAATCCTATGATATGCCATATTATACAGACAAGCTTAAAAAAAATTAAGTACAATCTATGGTCATTCTTTCTATAGCCTAAATTTTACCCAATTTTTTTTTTTTTAATGATTAGAACACACATCTGTCACCTCAACTAGCAAATTGGAGACAGTTATATGTACTATATCTGGAAACGAACCTGTTGCGTGTTTCCCATCCCTTTCAAGCCAGTACTTGAGGAGTGCATGGCTCTGGTCTTGAAGTGAATTAGGATTTTCAATTCGGATCTGGTGAATCTGCTCTTCTGTGAAATCCAGTTCTCTGGCTAGCTCTGAAAAAGAAATCCATCTCTGTAAAGACGTCTTTTTCTTTTTCCCTGCCTTACATCTATTTTACGGCTGTCAGCAGCAAAGTGGATTACAAACTTTTCTGAAACCAAATTCCCTTTGCTTCTATGTACCTTGTGTTATACTGAGAGCCGTTGTTAAACAGTAAGTTCATGACAAAGACAGAAACGCGTTATGCCTAGAAGTGATGGGTCTGTGTGAGTTTTTATTTTGCGTGTCTACCATTCCTAGTTCTCAGAGGCACAACACTACTGACAAAATTTAGCAGAGACAAGCTATCAAATAGAGTGCAGTTGCAGAAATAGCACATGAGCAGATAAAAATACTTCTAGCTAGCAGATTCTATCCTCTGAAATGTTGAATATTTCAGAAACTTTGACCAAAATCTAGTAAAAGAATTCATTTTAAGTAATGGTATTTTGTAGGGCTAGATTACAGCATACTAGTACTGGTCCCCTGGACTTGTTTCATTTAAAGAAAAGTAAATGTCTATGAATTACAGTTGAAAACCAAAAACTGAAAATGTGAAACTAAGAATAACTGATGTCTTTCTGATGTAGCATAGGCTCAGACTGCAGTCCAGGAAAAAGAAATGGTTTAATAGTCTGTAACATCTTTATTGTATCCAGAACCAGGAGCAGCTTTCTGCCATGACCAAACTAAGATGCAACTGTTGAAACAGGTCATCAAATGAGTTAAAGCCATGGAGAATTTGTGAGATTCCTACTGTTATTCCTGGTCTCCAGATTCCTGCTTCTTTCACAAAGAAGGATTCATATTCTATTCCATTGTTATTATCGCTATAGTGGCATGGACTTGTCATGTTTTAACAGGGTGGAGTGAACCCTAACCCCAAACTCCAGATAACCTTGTTTCCAGGCCAGCTTGTAAACTGGTGCAACTGCAAACTTCAACAAATACACAGTAACTACACATTAGATTCAAATCCCAGGTAGTCAAATAAGTTTGAACGAAAAACAACCACTATTTTATCCCCCAAAGTAACATTTGACTCAGTAATCTTTACTACAATCAATCTTTACCGTAACATAAGACAGGAATATTTATGCAGGTGTATTACCCTGCCCTCTCTAAAATGCTATAAAACATTAATGTCTATTTTGATCAGCATCCATTTTTTCTAGTTTTGTTTTCAGAACTGTCTATTCATTTATATAAAATTTTCAGCAGATCCCTAATCTGTTACATTGCACAGGTCCAAGTCCTACTGATTTCAAAATAATCCATGTTGGGACGAGTGACATATGCTCTATGGATTGAAATAGAGGACAGGAAAGGAAGAGGTGAGCAACATAAGCAAAAGTATCAGTGATATTTTGCATATACTCTGAAGATGCTGATAAAAACAGTATAGAGCACAATCTTCATTATCAAGGAGTTAACACTTTTTCTCTGGTATACAACTCTTCTTTAACTCCGAGAGCCTTGCTTACTTTCAAGAGCATGGTACTGCTCTAGGGTTAGATACAAAAAAATGTAGACCCGATTTAATTTTTTTTGTGGCAAGTTTTTGTTGGATTGCAGTTTGACAGAGCATTGAGATTTCTGCACAGCTCTTTTTCTTTGTAAACACTTTTGAGCTGATTTTCAGTGATAGACATCTGCATTTCATTCTGTGTTACTTTCACTTGTCCCCTGTAATGTTAAACGTCTCATATCTATTAAATCCACAGTATTAAAGTGATTGTTACAAAGAGGTCCCTTTTTATCCCTTTTTCTGCAGCACAGAAGCTGATGTCATTTATCCCTGTAGTGGCCTTCCAGCTCAGGAGTTCCAGAACACAGATGATGTTTATTCGTGCATTCATTTATCTTCTAGCCAGAGTTGTTGCATTTTGCAAGAAGGAGTAGGGTAACATATGCCAGCTCTTTGTCACTCTCTCATCCTAGGAGTTTTCCCTCTGGAGATGCCACAGCAAGTGCAGAGGCCTTACCTCTGCATCTGAGTTCCTACCTCTATAGGTATAGGCTATAGGAATCTTAGCAACCAGAAGACAGTAAGCTACCGAAATATTTCTATAAAACATCTTTAGATAATCAGGAAGTCATCTGAAAGAAACACAAAAAAAGCGCTCCCCTCCTTTCTCTCTGGAGTAGACGACATGCATTTTACCTGTCCAGCTGAATCCAAGATGATCAGCAATGTGGGCCAGTCTTTCCTCTGTCCTTTCCTGATCATCCTGTTGATCTAAAGGTCAAAGAGAGCCACAAGTTGCCTTTTACAAGTTAAAAACTGTTTTCATAGGTGATACAGCCCAAGAAGGCAAAGTGCTTTTTTTACTAACTGCTGTAATCTAAATGCGGACAGGCTGAGAAAAGTGGGTAACTGAAGAGAGGACTGTAAGTCCCCAGGTTAAAAAAAAAAAAGAAAAGCTTGATTTTTCAAAAAGCACAGGACTATCTACATTTTCCATTTGAAAATCAGGCTTTCATGTGAAAATCTAAACAAGGACTGAAGTGCCTACGGTGCCTATTTTGGCCAAGCATTTTATTCTAAAACTTCGTTCTAACATTAAACTGAAAACTTTAACTAAGACAAGAGCCATAATTTTCCATGCCTCCTTAGTAAATGCCAAGGTTGAAGAATTCAGCCAGACTGGTGCTTCTAATTACGTTCTTTCTGTTGCAGGGAAAGTTCTGTTCAAACAGTCCATATGGCACTTCATATTATGGTTCGCATTTGAGAGACTGTTAATTTAAGTGTCTTTGACCCTTTCAACTAGGGAGTGATATAAAATACTTGAAATGAAGGCAAGGAAAAATCAGATGTTCATTCGCCAGTCTTCATTTATTTTGGTAACAGTGAGACTGGCTGTTCCTCCCATCCCCAAAGCTAATTTGAGGATGGCAGAACTTGAGTTTTGATTTTCCCTGAATGCACACATACATCGCGATATCTCCGATTCAGAAAATTGCTTAGGGTTAATGATATATGCATGTTTCATTTTAGCTACTGGATTTCCATCATGGCTACTCTGTAGTAGCACACAAGTGGGCGAGAGGAAAACCAAACACCAGAAAACTTGTACTAAAGTTACTGGTGACACAGAATTTTCTTGAGACACAGATCATCAAAAAAAGGAACATGAAAAACTTAATTGTTTAAAACTTCTGCAGATTTATTTGTGTAACAACTCAAAAGAAAATGAATTTGCCTGTCTCAGTTTCAATCAATGCCCAAATATTTCATTATTAGTAAAAATTAATAGTTAAGAGTAGGGCCAGGGAAAGCCAAAAGCCAAAATGTGCATGACCTGAGCCATCAGTTTAATGGTAAAACAATACATATTTTTAGAAGTGTTTTTGTTTATTAAGGCAACACTTCCCATAAGCATTCATGGTTTGCAATCTTGAGATTGTTTCACAGACAAGAAAAATACAGACACAACACAAAAAACCAAACACAGCTCACAGGGGAAAAAAATACACAGCTAACCACCAAAAGCTTAAAAGAAAATGCCACACACATTACACGTGTATACAAACATACATACACACACACGCCCCAAAGAAAACAGAAAACCGAAGAGCTTAATTCATGACATGCGTCGCACAGGGAATCCCAGTCGTTGGCAAATACCTTCAGCATGGTCATGGACATTTTCATCAGGGATACGTTCAATCTGAGTCTCTACAGACTCATCCCAAATGGGTCTGGTGTCAAAGATGTCTTCAGGAACTGACTGCTGAGTCTCAATGGATGGCACATTTTCAATAACTGAAACTTCTAGGGCACTACTGCTTTCATCATCTGAAACTAATTCTTGTTCTCTCTCTGACTGCGTGAGTCTTTCCACTAATTTAGAAGCTTCATCACTAATTTCTTCAAAGAATTCTATGGAGTTTTTGTAAAGGTCAAAAAAATGTTCCTTACTTTCTTTTGTGGGACTAAAAGCACTGCGGGAGGCTGTAGTGCTTCTGCTTTTAACTGGCAACCGTGATGAATATACCTTGGGTCTTGCTGTTGTTGCCTCATCTGAGTCTAGCTCAAGCTTCATCTCTCTCTCCCTCTCCCTGGTCTCTGCTTCTGCCTCAGCATAACTCCTAGCTTTTATTGAACGTTTAGTCTTTGGGTCCATGGGAATACTTGCATCAGATTCAGATTTACTTCGGTTATCTTGTTTCATAGGTAGTTTGCTTGTCATGTCAAGGGCTTTGGGCGACTCTAGCTTGCGGAAAGATGTGTCTGTGTATGTATATTGTTGTTCAGCTTTTTGGAAAGCTGCTTTGACAGGAATTTTAGACTTTGGTTTGGCTTGGTCATCTTTTCCTTCACACTGCAAGCTGTCTAGGAAGCCATCTGTGGGAAGGCTCTCATTTTCCGATTGTTGCAAGGATTGCGATGCAGCAGCAGCTGTTCTTACAGGAATTTTGGATTTGCTTTCACAAGAAGGCACTCTCTCCATTAGAGCAGTAGGGATTTCAATCACAGATCTCTGTTCCTCTGGTGAAGAGTCTGGGGACTCATCACCCTGTTCAGAACAAAGTAACCTAGGGACTTTGGAAAAATCTAATTCATCTTCTACTACAGACTGCTCAGGAGAGATAGGGCAAGGCACCTGACTGCTATCAACCATGTCAGTCTCCATTCTGGAGAGGGGCTCAGCTTCAGAGGCAGCAGTTTCTTTCTTTGGTGATTTTGAAGAAGCTGAAATACCCATTTTAATTGGAATTCTGGATTTAACATCTGCTTTTGTGGTGCCTATGCTGACACCTTCACCTGTCATTTCTTCTGATTTATCACTAGACTCAGATGCTGGGGGTGAATATTTCAATGTGTCTTTTTCTTGTGTATCCGAGTCCTCTGATTCTGAAGGTGAAAATGGATCTGGTGGGCTCTTCAGCTTAGAAGATTCCACCTCTGCCACTTCTTTCACTTCTTCAGATAAAGAAACTTCTTCCTGAGGCTGCTGCCCCATTTGGAAGAAGTGAAAACTTTCATCTGGATAGTTCCTTTTGGTCATGTCAATGGCTCCACTTCTAGTCATTTCAAACAACTTGCCTTCCTGAAAAAGAAAAGGATTTTGTTCACTGAGTGGTGTCCCTTCTTCGGTGGGTGTTCTGGCTGGTGTTGTATCAGGTGTTGTGCCTTGTGATCGCCTGTCTACCATCAACCCAAATATCTTTTGTTCCTCTTCTTTCACCCGAGCTTCAAAAGCTTCATCATCTTCACGTATTTCACTCCACATGTCAGAATCCACATCAGTTTTAGTGATGACAACTTGACTGATCAATTTCCCCGTTTCATCTCTTACATCCTCAAGAGCGGATTCAGCTAATTTTGTGGAATCTGATGCTGAAGACCCTTGTGACATTTTCTGAAATGCATCCTCTGGTTTTGGCTCTATTTCCATATATACTTTCTCTGAAGAGTGATATTCACTACCTGTGTCTCTGCTAAGTAAAGCTTCACCAGTCTCATCTTTTCCTTCTTCAGTAGGATAGCTTTCCCTAGATAACAGACTTCTACCAGATCCTACCTTACTTTCAGAGTCAGGAAAGAAATGTTCAGAAGACACATTTTCATAAGGGCTTACTATATAAGGAGCACTTTCAAGTTCCACTGTTTCAGTGGTAAGGGATGAATACTCTGCTAAGGGTTCCTCAGCATGAATATCTCTCTGAGATGTTTCAAAATCTGTATCTGCTTTTCCCAAATCACTTCCCAAAGCAGAATGGTCAGTGGTATCATCTTGAGCCAGTTTGCCATCTTGTGGTACAGAGTACTCAGTGGTACTGTGTCCACAAGAACTGTCATCTACTTTCTCAGACACAGCTCCTGTAGAAATAAGATCTGCGTGTGTTAACAATGCAGTGGTTTTGACATCTTTTTCAGTAGTATCATATTGCCGCAGTGTTAGTGAAGACTCAACATGAACTTCTTTTTGAGAACTGCCACCAGTGGAATGACACAGAGTACCCCCAGACTGTGTGACTGGGGCATTGGGACTAACTGTCTCACTGTCATCTGTACTGTCACATTTTGATTCATCAGTTTCTGCTGATACACAACCATCGGAATGACAAGTGCCTGATTCTCCTGTGGGAGTCTTACAGCTGCCCCCAAGGACAACTGGTTCCTCTTTGTCATCTTCTGTTGGCTTATCCTGTTCTGCTTTAACTGCACCTACCCTGACAGAGCATTGTTTTGAATCAATGGGTTGAAAACCTGCTTCGTCAGGGCTAGAACTGGAGTCAATACTGGGCGGTAATGGTGAGGGTGGCTGCACCCGGATCACAGGCTCCATTAAGAGGCCTGAGTCAGCTTCTTTTTTTAGCTGAGTCAATTCCGGCTCACTTTCTGAAGAGGAAGAACTTTTTCTAGATTCGGCTGCAGACATCACAACTGTAGGTGTATCTTTTTCTTCTACAGCTGTTGACCCTGGTTCTTCAGCTTCACATGCAGCTTCTGAATCAGCAACTACAGAAGATTCATCTTGCTTACAATCCTTTTTGTAATCTCTCTTCTGTTTTGCTTCTTGTTCTAATTCATCAAACATTTTGATTTTGGTCACCATTTTAAACATCTCCTCTTCAGGGGTGAATCTCTTCTTTGGTTCACTTTCTGAATCATCCTCTGGTTCTTCACTGACTTCAGGGATCACGGCTGACTTTGGTATGTTTGACAGTGCCTGCGAGTCTGCTGTTTTAGGTGTGATTTCGTAGCTAATTTCTTCAGAACTAGGAGTCTCAGGTGAAAGAGGACTTTTCCCTGAACTCTCCATGAGGGATGTTTGCTCTAGACTGTCATCATCAGCACTTCCCTCAGGGTCACGGAGAATCCTGGAACGCACCGATGCCAGCTCTGGGCAGGTTTCTCCTTTGCTAAGAACAGACTGAAGAGGACCCTGCCCCAAAATACCAGCCTTCACTGTTTGTTCTACAGGGCTACTTTCAAGGGAATCACGGCAGGGAGACTCTTTCATAGGACTGGGCTCCAAAGAATCAGGCGTTTTGTGTGATGAGTTATCTTCTAGCACTGGGCTTGCTTCCAGGGAGTCTTTATGACTTATAGCCAAAGAGTCATCTGCAACTGGGCTAAAGCTTTCACTATCATGGCTAGCAAGTGAAAGTTCCAATTTCTGGGGACTTCTAACCACAACACGGCGTTCACAGGTTATATCTTTTTCTTTCTCTAAAGCAGTGTCATGTGTTTCAGAAGACTTAGTTAAATGTGCAGTGGTTCTG